ACCTCAGTGTGTTAATGTCTGTCGTATTTTTTAAACCAGTGTTGATATTTGGGAGTTTCAGATATTTCAGAATGATACATCAGTTTTAATCTTTTAATATAATAACCTCAAACATTTTTGATAAGGAACTCTTAAAGCTCCAGTGTGAAGGATTTAGAGGGATATGTTGGCAGAAATGGAATATAATATAATCAGTTTGTTTTCTTTAGTGTCTAAACAGCTAAAAAAGAGAATCAATGTGTTTTCGTTACCTCAGAATGAGATGTTTACATCTACACAGGGAGCAGGTCCTCGTCTACAGAGATCATCATGTTGCACAGCTATGTTTCTACAGTAGCCCAGAGTGGACAAACCAAACACTGGCTCTAGATCGGGACATTCACATTTGTATGTTTTGGCATCAGCCACTGTATCAGAAGCATCGAGGAGCACTGGAAAAAATTTTCATGAAACTGAAATCAGCTGGTCTGTTTGTTTAGCAGAGGAAGAGACCTCTGTGGATAATTCAGATTACAGTATCAGAGAAAAAAGGTGAGCACACATTGGCAGGTGCTGGGCTAATGGAACATGTAGAAACACTGGGTGTGTTCCGAGCAAGCGACAGAATAGAAATAGAAACACGGCGCCTGATGAAAGTTTAGCTCAAAATGGTGAGCAACATCGCACCACTGGCATCAAGCCATTCATAGTCAGTTAGGATAGTCCAGTAGACAGCAATGCAATCAAACTGTTGATGATGATGATGAGTTTAGTGGTAAAAAAGAGACGTGATGATTTTCTTTTCTTTCTTTTTGTAATGATTTCCTTGCAGCTGTTGAGCTTTTACACTGATAGTTTTGATGCAAAATATTTGCAGGTGAGTATTTTGTATTTTCAAGTCGTTTATTTGTCAGGCTCCCGGTGTGTAAAGGCCTCAGGGTCCGTACACATGCTGCATTTTTCTACCCTTGTATTCATTGATTTAAATGTACACACACTGAAGGCGCGCTCAAACACCAGAGTGACACCGTCACGGCACTCACACATTCCCAAAAGCCTATTTTGCAGGGCGCGACGGCTGTGCCCTGAGACAAACAGAGTCCAACTTTTGGAATCCAGCAGCGTGCAACTCATGTCATGTGACAAGAACCAACCAATCACAGCTGACAGATATCTTTCCTTCTTCAGTAAATATCAGTCTGATAAATATGAAGAAGTTGGTCATGTTAGTGCAGAGCTGTCAGAGCGTCACATCTGTCCCACAGACAAACAGGCCGACACACAAACAGAAGATCAGCTCTGCACTCAGGATTTTAGGTAAACAGGCTGTGATACGGTGCTTGTTTTGGTTGCTCAACAACCTCAGACACAACCTGCCTCCACGCTTTTGAAAGCTGGCATGGAAAAGGCACAAGAGCAGTGCCCAGCGCTCAACCTCGTGTCTTCCAGGCGGTTAAAGACGCAGCACGCATACGGCCTCTAAAGGATGTTTCTTTTCACCTGATTGTTGCACATGAAGAAATAAATGATTACGTTACAGAGAAATACTTCAGATTTTAAGTGTAGGCAACTTCACAGGTCTGAATCATGTCAGAGCACATTATCATCAGAGCAAAGTCAAACTCAGAAACGATTTGTCTCTCTGCGTCCTAAAGCTGCATGTTTGGTTTGGTTTTGTTTGTTTGATCCAGAATGAGCTGGAAACAATCGCCTGGTCATCAGCTCCACTGATCAATACATGTTGGCCCACAGGGGACAGCAGTCGTGTTGCAAATGAAACAAAGGCTTTTGTCAGCAGTGAGGTCCGAACAAAAGAGCAGCGACTGAAGGATTAGTTAGTGCACTTTAGATCTGGCTGCAGTGTCGTGTGTATGAACGTGTTAACTTTACAGCTTCACCCGTTACTCATCTCTCTTCATGTGCTGGCTGCTCACAGGTCTGCACGATTGTGACAAATAGTTCTGCGGGTTTGAATCACGTCTTGAAAACAAACAAAAAATAAAAACCATGAATCATGCAGCATTATTCCGGCATGATGAATCACTCCATTACTGAAGCTATTCTTCCTTTTCTTTGGCGTTTCCCACGGCCTGATGTGCTGTAGGCAGCGTACAGTACCATCGCAGCAACAACATCGATCATCGCTTCACTGCTGCTCGCATGTGGTGGTTGCTATAGAAACAGCTAGACATTAGGTAGACTATAAGGGTCACAGTGTGAACTCATCGGTGCTCTTGTCTGGAGGGAGAGCTCTGAAAAACGTATGAATCATGGCTGTAGAAACATGTTAATACATGTGAGACTGTTGTGTTTAATGAGGCCTGCAGACCACCTCCTGCACCTCCTCAGCTGTGTCACGTCTTAGCACCGAGTATTTTCAGCTCCATAACATGCAGAGGAGCTAGAAAAGTGCATAGCAGAGTGCAGATCTCTGCCACCTGTATGTGGGGCCATGTGGGTGGGAAACAGAAGAGTTGAACCTCACTCAGTTGTCCCTCCCTTACTCAAGATGGCAGTGCAGATACAAAAAGAAAAACGGGACTAATTAATGTAGTGGATCATAACATATGCGTACAGAGTTAATCTGCAGATACTCTGGTTCAAAAAATGACCAAACTTTTCTATGCATGTCAGCTTTTGAGCCAAAATGTGGCCTCCAACAGATGGTTAGGCTCGTTGTTTTTAGCTGAGCTGATGGTGTGGTGCAGTGGTTAGAACTGTCGCCTCGCAGCAAGAGGGCTCCGGGTTTGAATCCACTGGCTGGGGCCATTCTGTGCGGAGTTTGCATGTTCTCCCTGTGTCAGCGTGGGTTTCCTCCAGGTGCTCCAGCTTCCTCCCACAGTCCAAAGACATGCAGGTTAATTGGTGACTCTAAATTGTCCGTAGGTGTGAATGTGAGTGTGAATGGTTGTCTGTCTCTATGTGTCAGCCCTGTGATAGTCTGGTGACCTGTCCAGGGTGAACCCTGCCTCTCACCCAGTGTCAGCTGGGATAGGATAGGCTGCAGCAGCAGTTACAGAAAATGAATAAATGAATGTTGTTGTGTCAAAGTTTGTTCCCCTATTAGATAAGCTACTGTCTCCCGGCTGTTGAAAAGTGTAGCCTGCAGCATTTTTAAGCCTTGAGTTTGGCATTTTGGGTATTTGGAGCCAGAGGTGAACATATTTGGAGATGAGGGGGGCTATAACTCAAACTCTACCTGGTAGCTTGATTGATTTTTTTTTTAAATTTTATGTACTTTATTAATCCCTCGGAGGGGAAATTCAATTTTTTCACTCCAGGTCCGAAATACACACACATGCACAAACAGGACCTATACATGCACAAAGTGGAGAGATGTCAGAGTGAGGGAGCTGCCATGGACAGGTGACCCTCCGGTTCCCAACCCAGGTCCCTATGGACTGAGCTACTGCTGCCTCAAAAGTGTTCACATCCGCTGCGAGCAGGGTTCGAACCTGCGCGGGGAAACCCCATTGGATTTCAAGTCCAACGCCTTAACCACTCGGCCATCACAGCTTAGTAGAGTACACTGACAGCTGTGGTTAAAGGCAGATTTATACTTGTGCGTCAGCTCTCTCAATCAATCAATCAATCAAGCAAGCAATCAAGCAATCTTTATTTATAAAGCACTTTTCATACATAAATGTAGCACAAAGTGCTTTACAAGGTTAAAAGAATTGCCCCTCCCACCCACGTGGCCTACACTGTTGTGAGCATTGTGCAGTGGTGTGTCTGTGTCACTCTGCAGTTACAACTCCAAAACACTAGTTGGTGGTGGGGTTTCTGTGAAGTGCTGTAAAGTTTAGTTGATTCAAAACACACATTAAACCCACATTAAACATGTAAAACACACATTAAACACACATTAAACATGTAAAACACACATTAAACACACATTAAACATGGCTTAATAGAGACAGTTTCAAACACAAATCAGCTTCACTATAACTCGCAGCATTCACAGACAAACACTTGTCTTTATCTGGACACATTTTCCCCACAAATACAACATGCTAACGTTATTAGCACAAGCCTATGGCATTTTACATTGTATAAATTAGCCTAGCAGCTAGCAGTGACAACAGTGACATTTAACAAAGGTACTGTAACAAACTTTGGATCCATTACAACTCACAAGGTTTAATGAGAAAGCTACAGTCTTATACTAAGAAAAATAATAAAAAACAGACAGGAGGTCTGCGTCACTGCAACATGTAGTATCATTTTTGGGGAGATGCAGATGGAAAAGGCACAAGAGCAGATGAGTCTACGCCTAGGTATGGCGTCGATTTGACACACAAGTATAAATCCCACTTAATCCCCTATCAAATGGGGTCATGTTTACCATGTTCACAAGAAGCAACCGTATAACTGCCCCCTGTTGTGGGATTCATAATCTCGTAAGTGGAAATTTTTGGAAAGCTCCAAGATCACGACTTTGCGTACACGACTTCCCATGTTGTAAACATGAGCTCACGAGTTCCATTGAAACGCAGCATACCTTTGATAACACTAAAATGTGAATGCAAATTTTTTGTTAGCAAAAATTTAGGCTTAAAGCCATTAAAACAACCACAAACCAAAAACAGACACTGTGATGTCACCCACTGGTCAGTGGACTCCAGCTTTGAAGCCTTGAGTTTGGCATTTTGGTCGTCACCATCTTAGATTTTTAGAGGTGACCACATTTTGAGGAGAGGGTGGAGATAACCCTAATGCTAGCTGCTAGCTTGATTAACACTGTGCATTTAAACCTTTGGTTAATTGTGCTGTTGCTAACGTTGGCTAGCAAAAAACAGATTTAAAACTATTTAAACAAAATGTACTTACTCGAAAAACTGAATATCCGACTCTGTAGAGGGTCTCTTAGTTAGGGGTGTCAGATAAAATCACAATGTTGGTTGATCACTGTCCTTTTCTGTAACGCTAAAGGTGTCTGACTTTGTTATTATTTTATATTTCATTATATCATGTCATTGTTTTAACCTGACAGTAACCACGGTACTGTTTTCTCTCCACAGCTGATGTAAAGCAGTTCCAGGTCAAAGGTCAAAGACTTCCATTCTCCTGCCTCCGCTTGAACTCAAGAGCCATTAAACAGGTACATATGGTACGCTGCTTCCTGTTGTTACTCAGTCACTGTGTCCTCTCAACCTCCATTTTGGTTCAGCTTTGTTTATGAGTTCGTATTACATCAAAGTAAACTTTCTGTTTTTGCCGATAACTCCTGAAGTTTGGAGGCAAAATAGTTGATTTCTTGGATTCCTGGTTTCAGGATGTTGCCCTGATAATCCCACTGATCTGTCGTTTATCTTCATGTCAGCTCATTTCCAGTTGGAAGGTGGGTTATTTAGTTTGCTTTGCACTGATCTCATCGGGGATCGTTGCCACTTTTGTGCCCATTTTTCTGTTGTTATTTTTATGGATGTAGCAAGGCAGCTAGCTCTCTGTGTAGGAAGACGTCTACATTTTTAATGAGCTCTGCTTGGTTGTTTCTTCTACCAGAGGGAACTGAAAGTATATCAGTCGGATAAAAACTATTGGATTTTCACCACTATGTTTTTTTATATGTGCATGAACCCCCCAGTAAAGGTTATCCATTAGAGACGTATTATCGTCAATGGTTTCAGAATTATTTTAGGTGTGGTCTGTTTGAACTCATTGTTGAACTGCAGCCAGACGTTCACTCAGCCTGTCAGTTTATTAGGTGGTGATTTATTGTTAAATACGACGTATTGTGGCTTGATCCATGTGGGATGTATAAATTAACTATATTGTGAACCATGAGCATAAATTGTCATGCCTATTTTTTTCCCAAGCCTGGTACATATATGATATGTCACACACTCCCTGGCCCACCTAGACCACTCTCTCCTGGGTGACAGTGTGTGAGCCATGGTGTGTGTTTTTGTATCTGCAGAGCTCCAGACTGAAACCATAAAGCTGCATTTAACTCTCTGCTAACTGCTAACATCTAAACCGGGATTTATACTTCTGCATCAAATCAACGCTGCAGCCTACACCTTAGCCTGACGTGCACCTCCCCAGAAATGTAACTGTACGTCGCAGTGACGCAGACCTCCTGTCTGTCTCTGTAGGCTGAAACCATTTCCCTCAGTGGAAACAAAGCTTTGATTTACTTTAATTCACACATAAGAAAATAGCATTTTAAGTCCTGTGTGTGATTTATCCTGGCTTCATATGAGCAGAGGAAATCTCTGCTAGCTGCTAGGCTAATTTATACAATGTAAAATATAGACTTGTGCTAATAACGTTAGCGTGTTGTATTTGTTTGGAAAACGTGTTTAGTATAAGACAGTTGTTTTGTCAGTGAACCTTGTGAGCTGTAATGGAGCCAAATTTTATAACGTTACCTTTGTTACATGTTGCTGTTGTCCCTGGTTTCATATGAGTAGAGGAAAAGTCCGCTAGCTGCTAGGCTAATTTATACAATGTAAAATGCCATAGGCTTGTGCTAATAACATTAGCATGTTGTATTTGTGGGGAAAATGTGTCCAGATAAAGACAAGTGTTTGTCTGTGAATGCTGCGAGTTATAGTGAAGCTGATTTGTGTTTGAAACTGTCGTTATTAAGCCATGTTTAATGTGTGTTTAATGTCTGTTTTGAATCAACTAAACTTTAAATCACTTACTGTTGTTTCTTTTGTTTTTATGTGATTTGGTCACTACGGAAGACGAGAACGGCCAAGTATTTTTTTTTTTTTTTTTTTGTGCACTGTTATCTCGTGATAACGACTTATTATTTCTTTATCTCGATATAACAAAGATTGTTTTCCCGTGATAATTGTCAAGTCTGATGATTGCGCACTGGTTAATGTGATCGTCTTGATTTCAGCCTACAAGAGCTGCTGTGGTCCTGCCAGATGCCTCCTGCTGCTGCTCTTATCATTAGTCACACTTCTACTGTTATTATACACATATGGGGTCAAACCCCCGGCGGCTATTAGGTGCCCGGCAGCTATTTGCCGCCGGGCGACTATTTGGAAATATACGGTATGTGACAATAATCGTATGTGTATAATAACAGTAGAAGTGTGACTAATGATAACAGCAGCAGCAGGAGGCATCTGGCAGGACCACAGCAGCTCTTGTAGGATGAAATCAAGACGATCACATTAACCAGTGTGCAATCATCAGACTTGACAATTATCACGGGAAAACAATCTTTGTTATATCGAGATAACGAAATAATAAGTCGTTACCACGAGATAACAGTGCACAAAAAAAATAATAATACATGGTCGTTCTTGTCTTCCGTAGGTCACAATAAGAAAAACAACTGGAGAATATCACAGGTTACTAGATAACCTTTACATTCCTAAACAGGATTTAGATTTACTAAAAATAAAAATCTGTGAAACATTTTTTATCATTAAATTGTTGATTTACTGCAGCTTTATGTGAGGTATGTCAGCCTCTGTGTGTTTTCAGGTAATTATTTTACTTTGATGATCAGTGCTTCTTTTTTAATTGTGGTACACAAACATCACTTTGTTGTGGTTCACATCAGACAGACAGACAGACAGACAGAGTAATGAATGTAAATCCCCACAGAGATCAGACTGATGAAATTAAGTCCAATTAAAACTAACTCATTTACACAGTCAGACGTCTCTGATGTTCAGCAGCTCCGTCGACGCCAACAGAAACACGATGGTGTTGATTTGTGCAGTTTCACTAAGAGAGCAGTCGGGCTGAGTGTCACAGTGTCACAGTCTGAAAGGATCAGTTCATCACTGAACCAGCTGGTGACACATGCAGCACACACATGTGGTCATGCCCACATAATTATGTGCACACACATGAAAGCATTAACAGCGTGTGAGTCTGTGGCAGATGGTGAGCTTGACTCTTCAGTCCTCAATTAACTGTTGATTTCTCTTCATCATCAGCGCTCTGATGTTTAAACCACATATTTATCATGTGTTTCTTGTCTGCCCTTATTTTAATAAATGGTTTGCTGATGCAGGTCTGTCTTTCTGAAAACAGCAGAAGCACAAATCATCTGAAAGGTGGAACAAAACCTGCAGCAGGTCAGACTGAAGAAGTACTCAGATCTTTTAGACCTTGTTTCCACCAAGCGGTACGGTTCGGTTCAGTTCAGTTCAGTTTGGTACGCATTTTTCCATTTCCTCAGTGAAAAGTTGTGGATGGTACCAATGGAATTGTTCCTCACCATCCATTCACAGACCCACAGAAACCTCTGAATTTAGATAGGAGACACAGACTCATACAGAAGGACACAAAGGCAAGATGTAGTTTGCAAAGTCTGAATCTGTAGAGTAGCTAAAGCTTTGAGACAAATGTAGTGCAGTGAAAAGTACAAATAATTACCTCTGACATGTGGTGGAGTAGAGGTATAAAGTAGAATAACAATGAAATACTCAAGTAAAGTACAAGCAGTGTTTTGTAGATAAAAACTAGGACAAAAGATTTTCCATTGAAAATTTTTCGTCATTGACTTTTTTATCATGACCAAAATGAGACGATGATGAGCTACAAATAGATCTTGATAATAAAAACTAAGACAAAATTTAAGTTTCATTTTCATTGACAAGGCATGACCTGATGAATATGTTAGTGGTGGACTGTCGGACAATGAAAGCCAAGAACAGCCGTGCTTGTAATGATCTTCAGATGCCTGATGAGCGACAGGCTGGTAAACTCCAGTAAATAGTCTGCACCAGGATGTTTGGGTTGGTGCAAGTTGTGAGCTGTAATTCAGCAGTAAATAATCAGCCGTGTGTGTCTGACTGTGGATGGTGGAGCTGCTGAATGGATCTGTGGAGTTTGTTAGATGCAGTGGTGGCTGTTAGCAGCTAGCTCCGCTCGCAGACTTCACAGCTTCACCCCGCAGGACTCCACTCAGTCCGGACTGGAGAAGGTTTGTGGGTTGATGGTGTTTGACAGGCAGGTAGGAGGCTCAGTTATCTGTGAGTGTAGCTGTGCTGTAAGTAAACAGTCTGAACTCAGATCAGTTTTCTCTGACAGAGATGAAAGTTTAGTTTGAATCACCAACTCTGTGAGAGGACACCAGTTTAAACCTCCAGACTAACATGTTGCACATGAAGAAACAAGTTATGTTTCTGCTTCTTAACAGTGACATGGTTAAGTCAGAGTTTACAATGAACCTGGGGACAAATCCTAGTTGGCTCACATTAGTTATTTGTTGAGAGCATAAATAGAGAGATGTTGAGCTTTTCAAATGATGATCAGTAAGTGTGTGCTCGTAAATCAGCCCTTAAACCTGTCACACACTGCTGGAGACATGACACACACACATCATTTTATACAACCTGTCACCTTGAGTCTGATTTATGATCCATGAGTTTTACCTCACTGGATTAGTTTAAAGAGAAAAAACAGAAAACATTATGACTAAAATGTTGTGAATTTTTGTTAACTCAAACTACAGTCAGAAATAGAGAATAAAAATGACTAAAATGTGACTAAAACTAATGAACATTTTCGTCTCTAGACTGAGACTAAATCTAAAACAGCTGCCAGAATGAACACCCAGTGCACGTGCCTCTGGTTTCTACGTTAGTACAGTACTTGAGTTGATGCAGTCTCCTCAGCAGCTGTTGAAGCCTCTGACTGTGACGACTTGGATTGTCATAATTAAAATAAGGAAAAATCAAGAAATGAAAGAGTCATGATGAGTTTAAATCAGCCCTCAGTTTGACCATCAGAGAGAAGAAGAGGACGGCGTCTTCCTTTTTTCCTCACGTCAGTATTAATACCAGCTCTGAACTAACAGGCTGGAAGAGCAGAAGCCGTCGCACGCTGACTAAAACATGACATGTTTGGCAATAGTGAGTCAAGCACTATTTTAGGTCTGTGTTGAATAATTAAATGCATTTTGAACTCTATTTTAGGAAACAACTTGTCTACATGTGCAGAGTCAGCACACATCATTACATCACTTTCTCCTCAGCTCAACTTGGAGAAGACAGTCACATCTACTTTGTCACAAAACAACTGCGTGACTCAACTTTTATCACAAATGAGCCAACACGCATTTATTTTACACAAATTAGTGTTCAGTGTTTAATCTAATTACATTTAATTAGCAAAAAAAATCACAAT